AAACAAAAAAACAGAAAAAATAATTTTGTAATATTCTTAGGTCAAGGTTTGGATCGTCGGGTTATTGTCAAAAACGTTAAACGGAACCCCTAAGTTAGGTCAAAAGGTACAAACGCATAAATGACGTATCACACGGTTGTTGTTATGTTTTATTTACTTAAATGCGTAAGAAAAAAAAAAACATAGGAAAAATCAGAGAGAGAGAGAGAGAGAGATGTTGAGAAACCAAAAAGAGAGAGAGAGAAAGAGGGAAGAAATAGTTGAAAAACGAAAGAGAGAGAGAGAGAGAGAAAAACGTAACAAATGATGTAATTTGTTTTTTATTTTTTACCATTATTATTATCATTATTATTATTATTATTATTATTATTATTATTATTATTTTTACCGGCCATTAAAAAAAAATTCTATCATATATAAATATATCATATGAGATATAAAATGAACCAGTCACGATTTGTAGGTTTTACCGGTTATTTCAATTTAAAAAAAAAAAGAAGCGGAAATCGATTTAAAAAAAAAAAAAAAATTTGTGAGTGTGTGCGCGTGCGCGTGTTTGTATCTCTTCATGGTAGCAAAAACAAAAAAAAAAAAAATAATAATAATTTTTTTACAACAATGAACGGGAGCATAATTGATAAGAAAAACAACGATGGGGTTGTTTCCGATTTAGACAACGTAAGAAAATTATTATTATTTTTTTTTTTTTTTTTTCTTAAAAATGCGTTTCCGGTAAAAAAACGTCTTATTATTATTATTATTAATTAAAGGTATGAATGAATGAATGATGAATGAGGGGTTTGTTAAATGTAATTTTTTTAAGGAAAATCGTTTGTTTGTTTGTTGCATTGTTTGTTTGTTCGAAGGTTCTATACGATTTTTACTTAGAGGGAGGATTGGGGAAGTGAGGAGAGGCGGGGGGTAATTATTACCGTAATAATAAATCATTTATTTATACCCTTAAAAAAAAATTTCAAAAATTTAAAAACGGATCTCGTTCGAATTTGTCGTGGAATTAATTAAAAAAAAAAAAATTGACAGTCGTCGTGTAATTAATAAATAATTTGAATTCGGATTTTTTTCCCTTTTTTTCGACGTGTCATTAATTATTAAAATAATTTTTTTTTTTTTTTTTTTTTTTGTGTCAACGACGACGACGACGACGACATTTTGTATAAAACAATTCGCGGTAAGCGTGGAGGAAAATGCGTATTTCGGTTTTACCAAACGCAATAATAATAATAATAATAATAATAATGATAATAATGATGATGAAGATGATGATGATGTTAATAATAATAATAATTAATCAAACGAGCCGAAAAAAAAAAAAAAACCGTTTACGGGAAAATACATGATAGGTTATCGTCGTCGTCGTATTGAATTCGTGCGAATTTCTATCCACGCGTCGCGACGACAATAATAATAATAATAATAATAATAATAATAATAATAATAATAATAATAATAATGATAATGATATTTAAAAGAGAATTTATTAATTTATTTATTACTCGGAATTAGAAAAAAAAATGGCTGATTAAAGAAAGAAAAAAAAATTAATAATAATGTTTCGATAATTACGTAATAATGGTAATGTTCATTCGTCCGTGATCTCGAAACATTACGACGATTATTATTATTATTATTATTATTATTATTATTATTGAAACGAGATATTCACTTTATTAACATATTATTAATAATAATAATGATGATGATGATGATGATGATGGTGGTGGTTTCGATATTTAACATACGATAAATGATATCTTTATCGGATTTGTTTTAATTTAATATAAATATATATAAAAATTATGTTTTAAACTCGATCGTAAATAGATACATGTTTGTAGTGGTTAATAACATATACTAATCGATCGTGTTTTTGTTTTTTTTTGTTTATCAAAGAAACATAATTATTAAATATGAATCGTCGGGATAATAATAATGATAATGATGTTATTGTTAAAAGTTCGGTAGAAGTAAGTTAGTTGAATAAAACAAAATTTTTTTTTTAAATAAATAAATTCGTCTTCTGCTTCTTTGTTGTTGTTGTTGTTTTTTGATTTTCATAACCCCCCACAAAAGTAAAAGGACTTTTATCACACACCGGATGTTGTTAAAATAATGATGATGATGATAATTACGCGGATCTAATAATTTTTTTTTGTTTTTTATAAATTTTTTTTTTTTTTGTTTTTTTCTCTCTCTCTCTTTTCTTCTTTTTCTTTTCCACGTTCTGCCCAATCAAATGATAACATTCAATAGAAAAAGGTCATCATCATCATCATCATCATCATCATTATTGTGTTAGAAAATAATAATAATAAGAAGAAGAAAACTCGCTAAAAATAAAATCCGATTTATATTTTTTTTACCAATAAATGTCGGCCATTTTGTTTTGTTTTTTTTCTTATTTTTATTTTCAATTATTTATTTATTTATTTGTAACAAAAATTATTATTATTATTATTATTATCGATTATAGATAGCCTTAAATTTTTATTTTTTTATAATAATAATAACGTGACCTTTTGTGTCAACCTTTAAATGGGGAGGTGAAAAACCTTTTTATCAGGCCCACGTGCACTCGTTTCATTATCAATAATATCGTTAAAATTTTTTTTTTTTTTTGCAAATTTTAAAATTCGAAGGTAACGAATTTATTATTATTATTATCATAACGGAATTTATTTATTTTTCCAGCCGATTTTAATGAACGGTGGTAATTACATAAAAGAAGGTATCGATCCTGCCAAAAGTACCTGTTTGATATTTTCACCCAAAGAAGATGAAGTCGGAGCACTCGCAAAAGCGCTTAAAATGTTCGAAGTGAGTTTGTTTGTTTGTCATTTGTTTCGTTTGTTTGTTTTATCTTTCTTACGTTGTTATTGTCATTGTTGTTTGTTGTTTACAGAAACAAAAAGTCAATTTATTACACATAGAATCGAGATCGTCATCGAGATTTACCAATCAATATGAATTCATGGTTGAATGCGCACCCGGTGGAAATTTAAGCGCCGCCATTGAAACCCTACGACAACATTGTTCTTATTTCAGCATAATATCGAGAAATCACAAAGACAATCAGGGTGAGAGTCGTTTTATTAATGACGTCATTCGCCAACCGGAAATGGAAAGTTAATTTTTTCCCGATCGTTTCAGATACCGTACCGTGGTTTCCGAGGAGGATTCGCGACCTTGATAAATTCGCCAATCAGATATTATCATACGGTTCGGAATTGGATTCGGATCATCCCGGTTTTACGGATCCCGTTTACAGAGCCAGAAGAAAATATTTTGCCGACATCGCATACAATTACAAACAGTTATTATTATTATTATTATTTTGCACTGTTGCCATTTTCTTATTTTTTATTTTAATTTTAATTTTTAATTTTTTTTTTAAAGTGGTGAACCTTTGCCGAGAGTCGATTACACGGAAGAAGAAACCAAAACGTGGGGTACCGTGTTTAAAGAACTCGTCAAACTATACCCTACTCACGCCTGTCGGGAATACAATCACGTTTTCCCACTGCTCATCGAAAATTGCGGTTACAGAGAGGATAACATTCCGCAACTTGAAGACATATCGAAATTTTTAAAAGGTTCGTTTTTTGAATTTTCTAAAAACGAGAGACGAGAAAACAAAATGGTTGTGGTTGTTTTGATTGTTGTTGTTGTTGTTGTTGCAGATAGCACGGGTTTCACGTTGAGACCGGTCGCGGGACTTCTCGCATCCAGAGATTTCTTAGCTGGTTTGGCATTCCGAGTTTTTCATTCTACGCAATACATAAGACATCACAGTTGTCCGCTTTACACTCCGGAACCGGATGTTTGTCACGAATTATTGGGTCACGTGCCATTATTTGCAGATCCGGCATTTGCACAATTTTCACAAGAAATCGGTCTCGCATCTCTCGGAGCACCGGATGATTATGTTGAAAAACTTGCGACGGTGAGAACGGCAAAATTTTCTTTTTTCTTTTTCAATTGTTTTTCCTTGACATTTATTTTTCTTTTTTTCCGACAGTGTTATTGGTTCACCGTTGAATTCGGTTTGTGTTCACAAGATGGACACTTGAAAGCATACGGTGCCGGTCTTTTATCATCGTTTGGTGAATTGCAATATTGTTTATCTGATAAACCCCAATTGAAACCTTTCGAACCTACGATCACGGCCGAACAAAGTTATCCGATAACCGAATATCAACCCCTCTACTTCGTGGCGGAAAGTTTTGAAAACGCTAAAGAAAAAATTATGTGAGTTTTATTATTATTATTACTATAATGTGATCACGACTTTGTTAAATTGTAATCGTTAATGTGTTGAATTTTCCTTTTTTTTTGGTTGTAGAAAATACGCGCAAACCATTCCGAGACCTTTCGGTGTCAGGTACAACCCATACACGGAAACGGTCGACATATTGGATTCTAAACCACAACTGCAAGAACTCGTTAGAAAAATTAGTTTAGAAATGCAAATCCTAACGGATGCTTTGAGGAAATTGTAAAACGTATTCCCTCCTCCTCATTCCTCTCCTCTTACTCCTCCTCTCTCTTTCCCTCTTCTCCTTTTCCCCTCCTCCTTTTTTATTATTAAATTTAAATTTAAATAAAAAAAAAATTAATAATAATAATAATTATAATTATAATTATGCTGTTGTTGTTGTTGTAGAAAACAAAAAAATGTCGTTTTCTTTTTTTTTTTTAATAAACAATAATTTTTTAATTAAAAAAAAAAATCAATAATAATAATAATAATAATGATGATGATGATAAACACATACATTTTCAAGGTTTTTACGGATCATTACAAAAAAAAAAAAAATCCTTCGATTATAATATGCAATTATTTTCCTTAGTTTTTAATAATAATAATAATAATAATAATAATAATAATATTAATAATAATAATAATAATAATAATAAGGAAATGATTATTAATTTAATAAAAAAAAAAAAAAATTATGACGACATTTGAAAGATTTCGCACGCGCGCGCGTGTGCGTGTGTGCGCGTCCGTCGGGAAAAACAACAACGACAACAAACACACGTGACCTACGCATTCGCACAAATACTTAACGAATCAAATTCGTAAACAAACAATAATACAATAATAATAATAATACTATTGTTGAGATAAAAGAATAAGAGAAAGAGAAATCACCACGAAAATATTCAGGTCACAAAATAATTATAATTAAAATTGTAATTAATGAATTAATTAATGATATACACTAATTTTAATTAATTAATTTTATTTCATGAATGAACGACGATGACGTTTGACTCGTGACGTCGTTGATGACGTCAATGATTGCGCGTTTGTGTCAAATTAATTCCATTTTTTTTAATATAGGAACTATCACGCACGAATTACATAATTTAAACAATTATTTTTATGGCACACCACATAAAAGTAATGATAATAATAATAATAATAATAATAACGAGATAATTGTTTCATATTTTGTTTGTTGTGTCTTTTGTTTGTTCGACAGGTTTTAACCGCCGGAAATACGATTGAAATGATTTTTCTCGTCATTAATGACTATTCGGCGGCGGCGAAATGTTCGTGAAAAGAAACTGAGCTTGCTGTTGTGAAAATTGAAAAGGAATCAATTCCGAATCCGATTGCGAATGTTGATCGTTGTAAATTCCACCCTGAAACAAATATAAAAAAAAAAATAATGGCGGCGACCTAATACGTCATAATATGTACATTGTTAAAAAAAAAACAGGGACGATTCCTACCGAATGAGATTCCGATGACGAATTGGCAGGTTGTAGTCGTATATCCGACGGAGATATCGTCGTCACCGTGAGAGGAGATGCGACTATGGAATGTGACGTCACGTACAAATCAGGACCGGATTGATTAGTGGATTGATTCGTTCCCGAACATTCTCCGGACACGGTATAAGAAGGTACGCTCACCTGTTCATATAATTAAGATTAATAATGATAATTTTTCAATGTGTTTTTTTTTTTTTTTTTTTTTTTTTTCGGGACGAAAGTAAACGACTTGCATTTATAAGAGATGGTACGATTCCGCATCTTCCCTGTACCAAAAGACACTGTTGAAGTTCTTCTTCCTTCCTGTACATCAATTGACGTAATTGATTTAATTCGTGTTGTTTTCTTTTCACGTGATCGGAAAGTTGCGCTTGAGGATGACACAACAACTGGAAAAAAAAAATATAAAACTTACGAAATAAAAAACGACGACAGTTGGAAAGAAAAAAAACCATAAAAATCATTATTATTATTATTATACTTCTTGTGTTGGAATCGAAGTGACGACAGCAGTTCCCGGGAAGCCAATTATCGGTTGTAAAGGAATGGCAGCAACAGCGTACTGATGTTGAGATTCGATGAACGTGGTCGAAGCTTGGGCAGGGGATAACACGGGAAGTTTTGTCATGGAAAGAGATTTTTTCGAAGTATTTTGCACTCTTTGACTGTGCTGAAATTTCAAACGGAAAATCATTTCAGATTACAAAAAAAAAAAAAAAATTGAAATTCGATTGGAATTGGAACGCACTGCGGTCAAAGTCGTAAGTTGGGAATGTCTGGAACCGGGAGAATCTGCAGACGCCATGGATGCCGAATCACTTCCGGGTCCCTGATATCTCTTACGCTGAGATTTCGTTGCGGAAGTGGGAGATGATACTTCTATTTGTGGCACGGGTCCGACGGATGATTTCGACGACCATGGCGACGATGCAACTTGATCGAGACTGCAAGATTTCCTTTTCGATTTCGACGTGGAATCGTTGGCTGGAAGAAAGAAAAATTTCGAAAAGGTAAGACAAACTTGTAGCATTAAACAAACATTATCGTTTAAAAAATGGCTACTACTGACTATTAGCTTTTGAATCGCTCGTATTATCATCGCACGGATACTTTTTAAATTCATTCATGACGTCAACGTAACTGACAACACGATGAGTGCACACTATGAATTCAGGTTTCGAATTCCACTGATGATACGATATGTAAAATCGCGTCTGAAGCCAAATCCACTGTTGACCTTTTGTTAGAAAACGATAGTAACAGGAAGTTCCTTCACCCTTTTCCATCACTGACGAAATCAAATAATCTTTACTACAAGGGGTTCAAATATTAAACGAAAACAAAACGTCAAGTTTCTTACGTGTTTCGTGACAAACGACAATTTTATCCAAATCGTCGATGTGATAATAATCATAACCGGAAGTACCGACGACTTCTAATTGTACGTAACCGATAATGGGCGTCGCTCTCGAATCCAATGCGAGAAATTTCCAATCTAAATTGTGACGTGACGTGAATTCACTTTTTAAATTATCACTTATTGTCATTTCCCTGATTAATTGAGGTGTATCCAAACGACCGGTTCCGACGAACATCAAACTAAAACAAAACCAACCTGTACCTGTACCTAACTTTCTGTTTACTTTTTTAATGAGCTGTACGATAGTTGAACCTACGACGATTCTCCATCTCCGGTATATCGATTCGTACTCGATACCATGTTATCCACATCGGTTTTACTCGAATCAGTTTTAAAATAACCGACAAAATGTACCAATTGGTAAACGGGTTCGTCGCGATAATCGTCTACACCTCGTCGCAAATGACACGAAAATTCCATTTGATTTTCTTTTCCAATATTCGAACCGAAACCGTGTTCCGAATTCGATAGGATGTTGTAAATGTTGGGTTGATCCTCTTCGTACAAAATATCAAAAATGGTAACAGAAGGTTTCATCAACTCTCCCTGCGATGATAATTGACAATTAAAAACAAATTAAAATTTACATTGATTGACAAATTGACAAACAATATCGAAACAAGGTACAAAAACACAAAATTAAAAAGTTAATAACAATCGAAACAATAACATTAAACATATAAACATTAAATTAAAAAACATAAAATTAATTTAAAGTTATTAATAATAATAATAGCAATGTTTTTTTTTTTAGTTTACTTATTAATTAATAATACATACATAATTTTAGTTTATGTTTCTCCTCCCTCCCTCTCTCTCTCTCAAAACAAAACACATATAAGGATATTACACATATAGATTATTTAATTACAGGCAAATATCCTAAAAGTGATGTTATGCTTCCGGAAACATAAATAATTGTTCCACAGGTTGAAAAAGCGATTATGAAACCTTCGACAGCTTCTAGTATCAAATGTGCAAATTCTTCGTTGGATAAAAAAGATGGTTTCCAATCTTCTTGAATTTCATGAGCTCTCGATCTGACAGCCAATTCTGAAGGTTGGAGGGTGGAGGGTGGAGGAAGAAAAAGAAATTCAAATTAAATATAAATAGATAAGTATTTTTGTTTTTGATTTGCTCGACATTGATGATTGTTGCTTACCATTGTGACTTTCGAGAAATGCTATAGTCGATTTCAAAACTGTCGATTTATCCATTTTTCTATTATTCGTAGACACCATTGAACTTAATTCATTGATAAGCATGTTAAATTGATCTCTTCTTTTTTTCTCGCTCAAGTTTCTAGATCTCCTTCACATTTAAAAAAAAAAAAAAAATGAAATTAATGAACTGCTGAATCAATTATTTGAGTTAAAATAAAAACTTACCTTTTAGTATCATCCTTATCATCCGTGTCGTCATCCATTTTTAAAATATTTTCAATAACTTTAATTTATATATTTATTAAATTAAACGTGTAAATATTTGTCTGGGAATAATATGAGGTAATATTCATTGTTAATATTATTATTATTATTAATTTACCGTAAATTCAATCGAACGAATGATTCGTTTAACGTTTATTTTAACGAGAGTAAAATTAATATAGACATAGATTTTTTTGTTTTTTTTTTTTTTAGGAATAACTTTGAAAAGCACGCCAAATTTCTGTCATATCAAATAAATAATGGATTGATACCTGTTGAATTTTTGAATATGACATAAGCGGCGAAATTTGTTTCAAGTTAAAAAAAAATCCGAGAAAACCGTTAAAAACCGTTATTTCTAAAACGTACTCACATCAAATTTCAATCACATTTTTTAATCAATAAAAAATAAACAAAATAAAAAGGAAGAAAGAAAAAAGAATAAAGTGTTATTATATATATATAATCATTAATAAGATTGTATTGAGAGTCACCATTAAGAGACAACACAATATTACCAACCTTTGAGAAAAAAAAAATTTTTTTCTCACAAAGGAAAAGTTCGCAGTTTGCGAGAAAGCGCGAATACTGAGACATAAGTAATTAATAGTTTTGTGATGTGTTCATTTTTATTGTTTTTTTTTATATTTTTTTTTAATTATTATTATTTAATGTTACGGTACTCGGTCTCAAACGTTCACTTCTTGATTTCGGTGGTGTTTGATTAGTAGATGATGATGATGATGATTGAAAATTTTGAAAAGATGATGGACGGGTACGAATCGAAGTCACTTTCGACTTTGTTATAGCACGAATGGATTGTTTCGGTGGAAGTGAATCTTTTGCCATCGACTTGGAATCAACTTGATGTAAGGTATTAACATTAAGATAAGAATTCTGTTGATATTTTTGAACATTCGAATTTAATTTTTCACCACTTGCCGGCCTTTTTTCATTATTTCTAGAATTATTAGGTGCTTTATTAACACTGTGAGTTCTCTCGGTGGATTTCCCTGATTTTCCCGTGCTCATGGACATGGATTTATAATCTCTCGCCAACAAATCAGATCCGCCATTTTTTATATCTTGCATTCTTTTGTTGGACCCTGCGTAATATGATGATTTTGAAATGGATCCTTTCGAATCGGGCGTGTTTAACGTGGATAATGAATTTATTCTTGCACGATTTGAAAAATTTGGTTTACGCATCATTTGACCATGTTCTTTCGTACGTTTGGGTCTCATTTTCTCTAAGAAAACTGTTTTCCATCCTAACAGACCTGCTTTTTCAATGTCGTTATGTAAAAGTATTTTCCATTGTCTTTTACATATATCTTTCCATAATTCATTTGAAGAACATTCCTTAAAAAATTAAATAAGATATTATTATTATTATTATTATTATTATTATATAGTTTAAGGTACACACAATCAGCCAATCAATCAATCAATCAATCATTTGAACAAACTTATTGTTGTAATTATTAAAAATAGGTTGATGTTGAGAAAAATATCATCATATCCTCTTTTTATTATTGATAATCAGGTGTAGATAATACCTTAGAAAGTCTTTTAGAAACTTGTGATAAACTTAATATATCAGGAACGCTCATATATGATAATATTTTTTGTAGAACGTTTGAAGGCATTGATATAAGAGACCATTTTTCGTCAGCAACGTCACTCATAAGACTCGTTATATCCGTACCTGAAAAATTAAATAATAATAATAATAATAATTAATATTACATAGTGAATCAAGTGTTTTGTCGATTCAGGATAACATTGGAAAATTTTTTATCAAGTGAACATAACAACAAAGGGAAAATGTAAGTATTTTGAATACAATTTGCTAATAAGTAAAATAATTCAGATTATGAAAATTAGGAAAAAAAAAAAAAAGGGTAATTTTCAAAAGAAATACCGAAAATATAAGTTAATTCACGTTGAAGAGTTGAATTTCTTTTAAATTCGTCAAGAGTGATGGTTTTTTGAGTTGGTGCCACAAGTGGGGGTCCGTGACATATTTTCCATTTCGTCCAATGAAATTCTTTTTGATGTAATTGCAAAGCATAATAATCCCTACTTGGTGCCGGTGCGACCGTATAAGTTTCGAATATAATCCCTTTATTTTTTATTGTATCTGATTTTATTTTTTTTTTCACACCGAAAAATCTTTTAATTTTCTGATTACTATTACTATTATTATTATTCATTTATTATCGGAAAACTCGCGCGATCGCATAATAATAATATCATGCATTTTTTTAAAAACATAAAAAAAAACTATTACGTTAATAATAATAATAATAATAATAACAAAAAACAAACAAACGACGACGATGGCGATGACGACAAAGCATTAATTTTATTTTTAAAAAAATATTAAAATTTCATATCGCCTTTTTTTTTTTGTCAATAAAAATCGAATTTCCGGTCGAACGATATCTCGCTATTATTATTATTATTATTTTCGCGGTCAAAACACTGTCAAAATATAAATTTTTTTTTTTTTTTTTGACAGTAGATATGAATTATTTATATTTAAAATAAACGTTCACGTGTATTTTGCATGCGTGGTTTAAAGGTCGACAATTATGACGTTTGTTTTATTATTATTATCACTTTTAAAACACGACAAGATTTTACTTGTCGGAGTTTTTAAGCATTTATTCCAGGTTTCTACCCGACGATTCCTTAAAAATAAATCCTCGAATTTCGTTGGTGCTGTTTCCGAAGAATGTGGGCCGTCCCACATAGTGCGATTTCCTGGATGGTTTCCTCTTTTTTTAAATTTCCTTTTATTGAATGTCGCATGGCTCCCAATGCTGCTTCCACGATGTTATCATTATTATTATTATTATTATTATTATAAATTTTCGATGTTTTTTTAAACAAGCTATAAATACCGTCGGAATAATTGATTATAATATTTTTAAAGTTTCTTATTAATATTTAATAAGTTTTTTTTTCTTTTTTTTTCAGTTTTTGAGGATGCCATCTTTGATTTTATTCGAACGGAATTTTTTTTTGTAAGGACGTTTGTTCAATGGAGTAAACAATGGGGGGGGAAAAAAAAAATAAACAAAAAGGTAAGACAAATAAATTAATTAATTTAAAAAAAAAAAAAAACGTTAATAATGGGTAACCGATACAAAAACGAACCGTTTTATAAACATATTCGTGTTTTCTTTCTTTTTCTTTCGAGAAAAATTTTTTTTTTTTTTTTTTTAATTTAAATATTTACGAGGAAAATGATAATGATGGCCTTAAAAAGGAAAAAAAAAATGGCATACTAATTGTAAATTTATATATTAATTTATGGACCTCACGCACATTTCCACGTTTTTTTTTTTGTTTCGAAGAGGAGGTCTTTAAACTTTATTACAATACGAGATAATTCGCGTGTCCTTATTATTATTGTTTATTTATTTATTATTAACGTTTTTTTTTTTTTTTTTTTTTTTTTTTTTGTTGCAACAATCCCTTCCCTGGGATTATTAATTTTGAAACGTTTTTAAAAAACGGGAAGAAATGACGTCACGTCTTTTTTTTTAATAATCCAACATAAATTTATCAAATCCCATTTATTAACTTCACATATTATTTTTTTTTTATTCGCTATCATCTACATAGTACTTATTCTAGATAATGATAATAATAATAATAATAATAATAATGATAATAACCAGGAAAAAAAAGAAAAAAAATATTTTGTTGTCGGGTGATTCAATATTTTTTTATACCTTTGGGTTCAGGTTAAAATATTTATATAAGAATTGTCGCAACAATATTTCTAAAAAAAAAAAAAACATTAATTTAATATTAATCAACTTAAAAATTATTAATAATAATAATAATAATGATAATAAACGTTCTAGATTTGGATTATAAAACCCCAAAAAAAAAAAAAAAATTTAAAAGTTGATTTTTGACAATGGTAGAAATTTAAAAAAAAAAAAAATAAAAAAAATTGATTTTATTAAATTACATAAGAGAGGAAAAAAATTTTTTTTTTAAATTGTACGAAAGTTCTGTAAATTCGTATATCGAAATACTCAAATCATAATCGATATATCGAATCGATCGATGTATCGTTTCGAACAATTTTTTTTAAAAAATGTCTCGCGTAATTTGTGCAAAAAAAAAATTTATTCTTATGATTTTTTTTTTATTTAATTTTTTTTTTTTTTGTCGAGGGTTGTTGTTCTGGTTGTTGTTGTTGTTGTTGTCGTTTAAGTTACACTTGAAATTTTTTTTTTTTTGTTATGTGAATTATTATTCCAACCCTTAAAAAAAAAATTTAAAAGAATAAAAAAAAAAAAAAAAAAAAAACGTTTACACACTTACATAACGAAGATTATAACATCAAAAGTTGCGTAATATGACCTCAGTGTTGTTGTTGTTGTTGTTGTTTTATTTTCGGTTTTTTTTTTTTTTTTATCCCAGTAAGTTGTTGTTGCATTAGTTTTCCCATATGGATACGGTGATATTTCCGTTTTAATAATGATGATGATATCTTATCGAAAAGAAAAGGAAAATTATTTTTTTTTTTAAAAAATAAGTTAATCGCATTTCGCATTGACAATAATATTCATTATTATTATTATTATTATTATTATTATTATTATTAATCATCGAAACCGTTTTAAATGTCATCAAATGCAACATCCCATTAACGCCTTATTTTCGAGGGGGGGGGGAAAGGAATGAAGAGGAGGGAGCTTTAATTATCATGAAAATTAATTAACGTGGGAAACTCGATTTAAAAAAAAAAAAAAAAAACAAAATTAATTCTTTTTCGTTATGGCAAACATTTTATGTTGTTGCACTTTTTATCAAACAAATAAATTTTGTTTGTGTTTGTGTTTGTGTTTGTCGATCAATTTTTCACAAAGGATTTGAAAGATTTTGTATTTTTCTAGAAACGTAAAAACGTGTGCGAACGTTTTTTTTTATTCGATTTGACTTTTAAATTTTTTATTATTATTATTATTATTTTTCACGGGTTAGTAATAGGAACTGTGTTGCGTTTTTTTAAAAAATAAACACATCATCATCATCATCATTATCATCATCATCATCAATATTATCATCATCATTCAAAATCAATAGATAGATAAATTACAGTTCATAAATAAAATATGGACGTAAAAAAATAGACAAATGTCAAAACGATCTGCCAAAATTTTATATAAATTTTTATTTAGAAAAAATGAAAAATCGTTCGGTTGGTAGCATTGAGTAATATCGAATAATAAAAAAAATCGATTTTTAAAAAAAAAAAAAAAAAAAAATTTAAATCGTTTGTTTAACAAAAATAAAAAAGGATTTGTCTTCCGGTGATGAAATTCAAATGGAAATTCAAATCCATAATTTTTTTTTTTTTTTAATTTAATTTGAGTTTATCATCCTCTAGGACAAACCAAACAAACAAACAAACAAATATTATTACATAACTCGATGAAAAATTAGATAATGATTAATCTAAAATAAGATTAAGGTCAAAAGTAAAGTTTGTAAGTACTACCAAAAACAAGCAAAAAAAAAAAAAAAAAAATTGTTGATTTAAAGAGAAAAAAATAAAACGAAACCGGAAGTCGATCATTTTGTACCTGCCTACCGACCGACCGATCGTACGACAATAAAATAAAATTTATTTTGTTATAAGTTAAACATTAATTTTCTTTTGATTAATAATAATAATACCAAAAATTTTCTTATTCTCGGTTTTGACAAAAACAAATCAATTGATTTTCGATAACGGATAATACCGGATGTATTGTTTACATTCGAGCCAGGTTATCAATCGTGACGGATGTTGGTACCCAACGAATGGTGGTATCCAACGGATGGTGGCATCAGACCACCAACGGATCACCAACCGTTTTTTAACGCCGCTTTATTAATTTTTTTTTTTTTTTTTTTATTTCGGGTTAATTATCTCGTCACGCTAAAAATTCTATTGAATATATTACAAATACAATATTTAAATAATTATCATTATTATTAATAATGCGTTTTTGAACGGAATTAACAAACTAACAATAATAATTATTATTATTATCATTATTTATTTATTTATTTATTTAAAACGAGTTTTATTATTATTATTATACATCTTTATTAATTTTATATATTTTTACACACCTGTAATTATTTATACTCGCGAGAAAAAAAAAACCTTTTATACCTTTTTTTTTACTTTTTATTTCGTATTATTATTATCATTATCATTATTATTATTATCATAATCATCATTATTATCATCATCATCGCACGAATATCTAACCTGATTTATAAGTAGAATTTATTTATATGGTAGTAATATTTACATAATTGTTAAATAACTTATTTATTTAATTAAAAAAAAAAAAAAAAAAAATTAATCGGGGAAAATTTTATCATTATTATTATTATTATTATTATGGGTTAAAAATTTTATTACAATCGTGTAGCCCCCCCTTTACCCTTTCCCCCCTCTCTATCTCATACGGTGCCGAAAAAACAAACGAGGAAACAAAAACAAAATATTTTTATTTGAGGAAACGATATCGATTATTTCGTTTCGATCGGAATCGATCGATAAAATTATAAATAAATAATAATAATAATAATAATAATAATAATAATAATAATAGTTTTGCGTGCGTGCGTACGTGCGTTACGTAATTATTAATTAATGTTAAACGCATGCATAACAATGATTTTTAAGACGGAAAGAGAAATTTTATGTAATAAATAAAGGAGTATTAATATTTAAAAATTTTTTTTTTATCTATTTTCTTTTCAATATATATAAATATATTATGTAAATTCAATATATATATATGTCTTCTGCTAATGAAAATTTATCTCGTGCGCGTGCGCGTCAACACGTTTAATGCGAATTTATTATTATTCCCCGCCACCCCCCCCCCGGAAAATACTCGTCTTTTAATTTAATTTAATTTTTTTTTTCTATAAGTTTAATACTTACAGGGAAATATTTATTATTTATTAATATAAATAATAATAATGATAATGATAATGTGACGTTAGGGCACAACGTTAAAAAATTATTAGGTCTTTTATTGAATAAATTGATGTTACGTAATAAAAAAAGAAAAATGTTAAACGTAATAATAATAATAATAATAATAATAATAATAATATCTCATGAAAAATTCATAGAAATAAATCAGTTATAAATAAATGAGCGAGCGAGCAAGCGAGA